CTGAGCTCTTCGAAGTCTATTTTTAAATCTCTTGAGATGCAAGTTTGTTTTCCTTTAAAAGAAGTTGCCATAGGAACAATATTTTTATTATTTGTAGTGTTACAGTTTTTTTTCTGTAGTTTATTTAAAATAAAAATGTATTTAATCTACTAGGCAAGTATGAGAGCAGCTAAAACAACAAATCAGAAAACATTTAAAAGAAGACAAGTGTTGATTACCGCCTGGAAACAGTTGGGACAATGTGTTTTGGTTCAAGAGACAACTCATTTGAAAGCAAAATAAATCAGCTGACACAATCTTCTGAATGCAAGCAAATCAAGACCAACAAAATGTATAAGGTTTTTTTTTTTATAAAACAAAATATTGTTTTTTTTTACCAATTATACTGAAAAAACAAAGCAAAGACATGCATGAAAAAACACATAATTGTTTGACTGGGCCAAATAATCTGATTTTAAGAGACTACATCATATTCCTGTCTATTTTGTAGTCAGCAATATTTTTATTTTGTTTAAGACATCAGCTACTGAAAATACATACTTCATAGTGCAATTGTTTTTCATGATTGGTTTTCACGATATCTGCAGACCCAAGAGACATGTATGCATCATTGACTGCCCTTTACCACCAAGACTGGGCAGTGCACTCTCATGTAAGAAGGTTGTGGTGGGCTGAATGGTCTTGCTTATCTTTTGCTTCCTTACCAAAAATATCACCCATTGAAGAAGACACCAAACACATACTTCCTGGATGGACGATAAGTCCAAACCCCACCGTCTTTATGGCTGAACTCTGGGATTGTATTAAACAGTTCCACAAGGTTACAAAACCTGTTCCGGGAGTATTGGAAGAAGCTGTATTAATTGCCACACTGTCTGCTCAATCTCCCCTCTCTTCTCCCTAGCATTCCAAGTAGAAGGTCCCTCCTTCTGTCTGTTTTGTGAATAAAATAATTCAGAATATGTTGAAAGAAAATATTGACTTGCCTTTCTGAACATCCTTTGAAGAAAAATTCCAAACAGTACTGCAGATCCAAATGTGTAAGCTCTAACGAGCAGGGCCTTCTGCATCCTCCTGTTTTAATTTGTATTGTGATTGTACTGTCTGCCCTTATGTTGTAAAGCACTGCATAAACTGTTGCTGCTATATAAATTCTGTATAATAATAATAATAATACAAATTTTAATTGAAGATTTCTATTGAAAAAAAAATAAATCACTAAGCTTAAAGCTGGCCATACATTATACAATTTTTAAATTCAATTTCCTTTAGATTTACCTTCAACTATGACGTGCAAGGGCCTGTCTGACTGCATACTGTGTGTGTGTGAATCATTACTTTTGGACATTTTCCTTCAAGTAAATATAAACTGGTAAAAGAAAAAGCAAAAGTGGTGTGAGTGGAGTTTAAAAATAACAGATTTTTACCACAGTTCTAGTTGTGTTTTCAGAGATTAGAGCCACTGAACATTTTTTTTTTTTTTTTTTATTAACTTTTAGTGCTACCTGTACAGATCTGATCACTTCCATTACTGATACTGTCTTTCCGCTAATGTTTCTCCTATTATGGGCCTATGTATGTTGTGTGGATCTCTATCATGCAAATGATGCCCATTGGCTATTTCCTTTTTCAGACATCCTTTCCCATGATGGTAGAGAAGAGGTAAATGCAGTTTTCACATATCTATAATAACTGTTATAGTGAGTGATTTCTATGATTCAGTTAAATACTTTAGTTGCTTTGGAAGAAAACATTAACTATTTCGGCTCTCATACCTCTTAAATGGTCCAAAGCAATGTTACATTTCTGCCCTGTAACAATTTTCCTTATTAGTTATGATAACAAAGTAATGTGAGTACATATTTTGAGGTGTTTCTATTTAAAAGGACACTACAACTTTTGTTCAGGTGGAAAGCATTAAAAGGTTATTTGCAAATGAAAAAAAAAAGTTAAAATTTTTCTTTTTTTAATGTGACACTGAATAAAAATAAAACAAATTAAAATAAATAACAGATAAAAAAAAGAAGAAATGAAAAATAAAATCAGCAGAAAAATAACTAAGGTTTTATAAGAGGTTAAAAAAAGAATATATTTTATTTAAAAATAGTTTACCTGTAAGGTGTCTTTATAGGTATGAGCTGATTGTAACAGGACTTGGTTCTGCAGGTTTGCAAAAACGGAGTATAATTCAGGTGTTAAATTTGGGACACATTGAAATCAATGCAGTAATGACCATTTTCTAGGCTAATAGACAAGGAAATTCCAAACAAACCCTTTTGAGGACCAAGGGACGTATTTGTCCCATGTTTTTAATTGCCTGTATCATCTGATTAAGAACTTAAAATACTTTTTTTTTTTTTTTTGGTTTGAGTCAAAATATTAGTTCTTATCAACAAATGGATCTAGCTTTTTGCCAATTATTTCATGAAATGGCTTAGTTACGGCAACTGAAGTGTATGAACTTTAAAAACAAAAAATTGATTCTTTTGGCGTTCCGTAATCTTATGGTCCTCAAAGGGATAAAGGGCTATGAACTGCCCTGGGGAACATCTACTAAAGCAAAAATTAAAATTCTGTTTGGTGTTAAGCAGTAATCCTAGTAATGCTTACATGGCAACATTAAAAATGCTAAATTAAAAATGCCTTTAACAGCTTCCCCTCCTCCCTACAGCAGAAATACTGCTACAGGGCGGCAGGGGTGCACAAAATCAAGTATATATATGTGATTTTGCATTTCCAGGTAGGGGGCGCACGCGGCCTTGGCTGTCAATCACTGGGTCCCGGATGGTGATTACTCGCCAGTAACCGGTGATCGCCAAATATCTTCAACGGGGGAGAGACCTGTGTATAAACAACACAGATCTCTCCCCTGTCAGCTCCTGCACACTGCTTTGTATGGCTCTGCATAACAGAGCCATAAAAGCAGTGTGCTTACAGTAGAAAGCACACAGACACAGCACACAGTTAACCCTTTGATTGCCCCACATGTTAACCGCTCCCTGCCCAGTGCCATTAGTACAGTGTCAGTGCTTTTTATTAGCACTGATCACTGTATTGGTGTCACTGGGGATGTCAGTGACACAAAGTCAGTTCCCCCCATTGTCAAAATGCCTGCCGCAGTCCTGCTATAAGTTGCTGATCGCCGCCATTACTTGTAAAAAAAAATAAAAAAATTCCAGTATATATACCACCATTTGTACATGCTATAACTTTCATGTAAACCAATTAATTTACACGTATTGGGTTTTTGTTTTTAGCAAAGACATCTAGCAGAATAAATTTTGGCATAAATTTATGATGAAATTAGATTTTTTAAATTTTTTTTACTGGATATGTTTAATAGCAAAAAGTCAAAAACATTGTTGTTTCTCAAACTTGTCGCTCTTTCTTTGTTTATAGCACAAAAAATATAAAACACACTGGTGATCAAATACCACCAAAAGAAAGCTTTATTTGTGGGAAAAAAGGACATAAATTTAATTTTTGTGCAGTGTTTCATGACTGAGCAATTGTCAGTTAATGTAACACAGCCGTTATCGTAAAAAATGGCCTGGTCAGAAAGAGGGGTAAATCCTCTGGAGGGCAAGTGGCTAAATAACATACCTGGGGTATGCCCTTAACCTGTCTGTGAAGTGGGACATCTATATGATGTATACAACCTACTATAGCAAATTGAAATAAAAAAATATATATCTGCCACATGGTAATTCCCGGGCCTATATATCTGTTTGTAAACAAAAGGCTAGGGATTTTCTTAAGAAAAAAGCCATGGGGTCCTCCTAAAATTCCATACCAGACCTTCTGGGTCTAGTATGAATTTTGATTGGAAACCCTATGCAGCTCCCCCAAAAAATCCATACTGTACTCTTATTCGAGCATACATCCTGGCTGACCAGGAAAAAGGGGAGTGATGGTGTTGCCTCCCATGTGAACCATAGCAGGCCACATACCTTCAACAAGGGAGGTACTTTTGAAGGAGGGACACCCCTGGCAAAGGACCTTGTCCCCATGTTGATGAGGACAAGGGCCTCTTCTCCACATCACTGGACAAGTGATTGGTTAGGTCTGAGGGATTTTCAGAATCTGGAAGCCTCCATTAACAATAAGAGGGCCCCCAGATACTGTCCCTCAGTGCCAATGAGTAAGGGGTATATAATACCCCTACTCTGCTATTAAAATGTTTTGTGGCCATATTTGGTTATTGATACTACAGTAACTTTGTTCCTTTGTTTACATGGATGGGGATTCCTGGCCAGTAATTGAATGGGACCTGGTGACATCATTGGCTGCTGAGGACATGGTGAGTGCCAACTCCCACTGGTTTCTTAGTAGCCATTTACAGCAAGGAAGCTGTCAGTGGTATTTGTATTACTACTATACATGCTGCTTGGCTCCCACTGAGTAATCAAAAAGTCTGGAGTTCAGATGAATGCCTGAAAAGCCAAAGTTTAGTCTAAACCTACATTATATTGCCAAAAGTATTGGGACGCCTGCCTTTGCACGCACATGAACTTTAATGGAATTCCAGTCTTAGTTCATTGACCCACCATTTGCAACTATAACAGCTTCAAATCTTCTGGGAATGCTGTCCACAAAGTTTAAGAATGTGTTTATGGGAATGTTTGACCATTCTTCCATAAGCACATTTCTGAGGTCAGACACTGTTGTTGGACGAGAAGGCCTGGCTTGCAGTCTCCACCCTAATCCATCCCAAAGGTGTTCTACTGGGTTGAGGTCAGGACTCTGTGCAGGTCAGTCAAGTTACTCCACCCCAAACTCGCTCATTCATGTCTTTATGGACCTTGCTTTGCGCACTGGAGGACTTGTGCAATGTTAGAACAGGAAGGGGCCAACCCCAAACTGTTCCCACAAAGTTGGGGGTATGAAATTGTCCAAAATGTCTTGTTATACTGATGCCTTAGGTGTTCCCTTCACTTGAACTAAGGGGCCAAGCCCAACCCCTGAAAAACAACTCCACACCATAATCCCCCCTCCATCAAACTCATGGCACAATGCAGTAAGGCAAGTACCATTTTCCTGGCAACCACCAAACCCAGACACGTCCATCGGATGGATTGCCAGACAGAGAAGTGTGATTTATCACTCTACAGAACACGTCTCCACTGCTCTAGAGTCTAGTGGTGGTGTGCTTTACACCACTGCATGTGATGCTTTGCATTGCACTTGGTGATATAATGCTTGGATGCAGTTGGAAACTGCAGCAGCCATGAAGCTCTCTATGTACTGCTGTTGTGCAAATCTGAAAGCCACATGAAGTTTGGAGGTCTTTAGCTATTGGATCTGCAGAAAGCTGGCAACTTCTGCGCACTGTGCACTTCAGCTGCTGTTGTTCCCAGTTGATTTCACTTTGTTATAATACCACTAACAATTGACTGTGGAATATTTAGTAGCAAGGAAATTTCATGGATTAACTTATTGCACAGGTGGCAACCCATCATGGTACCACAATTGAGTTGACTGAGCTCCTGAGAGAGACCCATTTTTTCACAAATGTTTGTAGAAGCAGTCTGCATACCTAGGTGCTTGATTTTTATACACAGGTGGCCATGGAGGTGATTGGAATACCTGAATCCAATGATTTGGAGAGGTACCCCAATACTTTTGGCAATATACTGTATGTTCATATTATAGTGTGTATATAGTATATGTTCAGACTGAAATTTAACAATGCATTGTCACACTGTATTACTCAACAACACTTGCAGACTATCTGCAAGACTGCATTTGGGAAAGCTGCCCCTTCTATGTAATACAGAACAAATTCTGACTGGGAATTACAAAAATAAGCAGCAGCAGCAGATGGACTATGTTAGATTTTATATGGTGTATCTCATAATCCTATAGTCCTCAAATGGTTAAAAGCTACTTGTTCCCAAGAAAAAAGTACAGTAAAATTCACTGAAGGTCTCTTAGACCATAGCTCTGAAAGAATATGGCCACTATTGAACAGTAAGCCCTTCTATAGTACAAACAGCATTTTTGACAGTATATATTCAAAGAGTGCTTTTCAAGACCAGTTGGACCCGACAGTGTGCCACATATTTTTTCTCTTCTGATGCTCATATCTAACAAAAGCATCAGAGATATTTGACAGGAAGAATATAGGACAGAAAAGCCTTAGGACAGTCAGGAATCATTTCTAAAACCACATTCTGAAAACTCACAGTTGTAGTAGTGTTTATTGGGCTTAGCAGTCTGGTAAGTGCACCATTAATTTTAGGAACAGAGCAAATTTATTTTCCCTATGTGTCTCTAGGCATGTGCAGAAAGGTGTATCTCTTTTAAACCCTACTCCAGGCCAAGTCTTTAAAGCTCAGGCTACAATACTTACTTTCATTCTGTCATGAAGTGGGACTGTCACATATGGTTGGGATTGTGGACCCTCTGTGCAGCATGTATGCTGGCTGGTGGTGTACTCAGAGAGCACACCCGTACATAGTACAGCTAACCTAGTACAGGGAAGCACAGAGATGAGGATCTTGGAAAACATGAAATAATGGGATGGCATGAGTAAAATGTAGCTCTGGAGTTCTGGTCTGAGAGGCAGGCAGGCAGGACACGGAATACTTGTAAAATACACTTACTGAACTAGGGTGCAGAGATCCCAAGGAGACATAAGAGCAGAATTATCTAGTAGCAGTGGGATGCTGAGTTTACAAGAGCACAGAAAAACAAGATGTTTGAAGAACACTAAGGGGCACAGGGTACCCAGGGAATGCAAGTACACAGGGTGAAAGAAGAGGTACCTGAGGAGTCTGGGTCAAGAAGGAGACCTATTGGTGGTTCTTGGACTCACTGAAACAGTAGCTAGTGGGACCTAAGGGCTGATATGCAATAAAGGATCCCTAGCATCACAGGGATCACAAGACAGTGGGGAGTACAACCCAAGGTTGAAGGTGCTCATGGGAACACATAGACACTGAGAACAGGTCCATAGAGACACACAAGACAGGAGTGAGTAGCAATGCAAAAAGAGGCAAATATGAGTCACTAGGAGCAGGTGGAAATGCACGAGAACAGGAAAAAGACTTGAAATGTGCTGGGAAACACTGAACAGGAATCAGACTAGAACTGGGAGGCACAGGTGATACAAATGAGTAGCAGACGGGAATACACAGGAGATCACAGAGGGGCTGGAAGACTGAAAGCTGGCAAAGGTACACACTGAAAAACTAAAGGCACAAGGACTGTTGAATGCACAAAGGACACAACAGGATACAGGTAAAACACATTGAGAGTCACAGGGGACACAAGGAAACACTTGGGGAGTGCTCAGGGGCGGACTGACAACTCATGGGGCCCCCGGGCAATAGGGGATCATGGGGTCCCTGTGTCCTTACCCAAACTCAAAAAAGCCTATGAAAAAGGTACCAGGGGCATCTCATGGGTCTCCCTACTGACCCCGGGCCCTCGGGCAGTGCCCGAGTTTCCAAATGGTCAGTCCGCCCCTGGGAGTGCTATTGATATTCACAGAAAGTTAGGGACACAAGGAAACACTCTGAGTATGCATGAAATCTTCTCAGGAACACTGGTGGACACGACACTAGAAAAACTAGCTGTTGCTCAGGCAAAGTCTCAGACACTAATCCAATTAATTAGAACGGGAGATGGCCTGATGGGGTTTGGCATGCAGCTAAATGAATCAACAGCAGGTGGTTAACATGTCTTGAACACAAGTCTTGTGGGATAATAGGTACCAGCAGAACCTTACAAGCAAAAACTATGCTACATAAACAAGCATGCCGTTGTTCTTTGGGAATATAGGAGACAGATCTGCAGCACAGCTACAGATCTGTGTCACATTAACCACAAGGTGCTCTGTTTCATTAAACCTGGAGAACTGAGGAAGTATTGTGAACGTGGTATGTCATAGGCCTATCCCCTGAGAGGCCATCATGATGGCACCCTTCATTCACAGATCAATGCTGACTTCACCTCAACAACGTGCTTCACATTGTTAAGGGACCACACACCACTGGAAAAGATTGACAGAGGAAATTGACCCAGCGTGTCAGGTGACAATTTAAAAACAAACTTTAACTTTGTTGTTGGGGAAATGCATATTGTGCTGCAATTGGCCTCAGCAAACACACACAGCTATCATTTTTTGTATAATTACAGATATGATGTCTAAAAACACATTGGAATGCAACATGCTTGCTAATATAACCAATGTACACAAATGTATGGAAGCAATACATAAAAGATCCAATTTCTTTCTTTTCTTTTTGGGTAAAGCATGTCTTGATAAAACTAACTTTAGCAAAGATGCAAATGTTACATGTGTTAAATTGTAGGACAAAGGTTTCATTTACTAAAGGTAAATAGGCTGTTTACTTTTCAATGGAATTTTCACTTTGAACAGCAATTTTCTCTTAGCTTATTGAATGTGATAAAAATATACTTTGCAGAGAATAACCAAACTGTCAGGGATCCTGTCGCTGTGCGAAGGCGACGGATCCCCTTGGGCCGTAGCGGTGCAGTGTGCATGCGCGGGAGCGTGCTGGCACGCATGCGCAGAAGCACGGAAGTACGCGCATGTGCAGTAGCGTACACGCCACCGAAAGGCGGGCTATTTAAACCTTCTGGTCTATAACGTCCCTGCACTCTATTACCTGATTCTGTTGCCTGTATCCTGATCTGACCTGACTAAGAAAGAACTCCGCCTGCACCGACCCCGGCTATCCCTGACTATCCGCTTGCCTGCCCCCTTGTACTTGATTTGCTCGTTTGATCCTGACCCGGCTTGTCTGACTCTGCTGCACCTACTTACCTGTATCTGCACCTGGCTTGCATCCTGACAGCTGCCATACTTACCTGCTGCTGCACCCACGGTCCTGCACATGGCCTGCATCCTGGTCACCACCATACTTACCCTCTGCTGCACCCAAGGTCCTGCACCCGGCCTGTATCCTGGTCACTGCCATACGTGCCTGCTGCCGCATCCACACTCCTGTGTCAAGTCCCAGTCTGCATCCTGATTGCCGCCATACCTGCCTGCTGCTGCACCTATGTTCCTGCATCCGCACCTGGCCTGCATCCGGATCTCCTGGGTCTTCATCTACCTGCTGCCAGCTCCAGACCTAACTGGGACTCGTGCCACTCTTGGATCTGTGCTCCCTGTTCCCACTATCAGGGACTTCGAGCGGGAGTAGTAAGAGGACGCCTCCTCTCACGTCAGGCTCCCCAACCAGATACATGACACAATCACACTCAAAGGAAATAAAAAAAAAAGTTTTGGATTCTCTGTTCGAGGAAGGTTTATAGCAAATCCCCAAAAATGTGCCATTGGTTTAGAGGAAGCCAGGTATTTAGGTTACACAATTGGTTGAGAAGTCATGAAACCTCATTTGAACAAAATATAAGCCATCCAAAAAAGGCCACGTCCTACAAACAAAAAGCATGTCAGAGCCTTCCTTGCTATTCCACATTTTGCAACTCTGGCAGCCCTGACTGATCTTACTCAGTAAAGGTAAATTGGTCCCCAGAAGCAGAAGATTCTTTCCAAGTCCTGAAGAGGGCTCTTTGTGCTGTATTCCCTTCACTTTACCAAGGATTTTGTGGTTCAGATGGGTGCATCAGATGTTGGTCTTAGAGCAGTGTTGTTACAGGTACACAATGGAAAGAACACCTTGTAATGTACCTGAGCAGAAAACGTAATGAACATGAAAGGAATATGCAGTGATTGAAAAAGAATATGTATACAGATAGGACCTGTGCAGTGGACTGGAAATAGATGTAATAGTTCAGCTGGCTGCTGCTGGCAGCACCACAAATGTATACGTATAAATGTATAATATAAATGCTGTGCTGCCACTTGTGATTATATATAGTATACTAGTGCTGGCTCTGCCACACTTCAATCGTCATTGTGTCCCAAAAAATAAATGGAAAAAATAAATAGATAAATCGATATGTGCCTAATACCATATATAAACCACAATGTGCCTTATATACAGCCCTCCTCCCCAGGGACTCGATTCATCCCTATGGATAGGGGGATGTGTGCATGTCTGTATAACCGTGCATATATGAAATACAATAACAGTGTTAATTATGTGCAAATTTTAAACAACCATGGGCATCAATACTCCCAATATGAGCCAATCTCAGTGAAAGAATAAATAACATTAAATATTAAAAAATATATGCAGTGCACTTGTATGCAATATTTGAAGTCCCAATGTAAAACACTTTCCACATTAACTTTCAATGTGATACAATGTGATTCAGTGACCAATCTTCTTATCCATAAAATTTTGTGTTAAGTGCACCACTCAGTGCTCCCCCTCCAGAGCCCCACTCACCACAAAGTGTTGACCACCTGCATAGGTAGGTCAACCTGCGTGTTTGGTGCTTCAGCAAGCCCCTAAACTGATCAGCTTCCTGTATACTTCTGAAGCCTCTATCCACTGGTTTTGGACTCCATAAATGAAAAGTTATTCAGACCATCCACAATACTCCTGCACCACTGTAAAAAACAATCAGAAGAAAGCTTCCATAGCGTCTGCCTGTTTTTATTGGATATAAAACACTTAAAATTGCACTTACATGTAAGCATATGTATGGAGCTTTAAAAAATCCTAAGACACTGCAACTTCTCTGTACTCCCTTATAGGGACAGATGTGGTGCTATCAAACCTCTCCTACATGTTTTGTCAAATGACATCATCAGGAGCGGAGCTGAAGCACCCCACTGAATGGCCAAATATACCCTACAAAATCCTGGTATCAATCGATATTGATTGATGGTTGCCATTTTGTTGTGGTCCTGGCGACCGTCATTTTGTTGTAGGCAGTTCCATGGTGTTATCTACTAAGATGCTGATACTAGTGGTTGTCATTTTTTGTAGTCCAGGAGGCAGCCATGATGTCATGGTCAGTCCCCACCGCTATACACAATGGGATCCAGGCAGACTGCTCCAAACACCGTGCTACACTTCACAATCCACTAAGCACTTGGCTAAAGGAACCGGTCCAAAAAGGATTAACAATTTATCAATGATAATATGTTGTACTGAGACACAGGACTCAATTAATGTCAGTCGTCATTTTAATAGAGATTGGCTCATATTGGAAGGATTTATGTCCATGGTTGTTTAAAATTTGCACATAATTTAGCACTGTTATTGTATTTCATATATGCACTGTTATACAGACATGCACACATCTCCCTATCCATAGGGATGAATTGCGTCCCTGGGGAGAAGGGGTGTATATAAGGTTTAATGGTTTATATATGGCATTAGGCACATATCGATTTATCTATTTATTTTGCCCAATCATTTTGTTGGACACAGTCACGATTGAAGTGTGGCAGAGCCAGCACTAGTATTTATAGAATCACAAGTGGCAGCGTGGCATTTATATTATACATTGAAAAAGAATGTTTGGACATAGATTGGGTCTTGGTGCTTTAAGATATTATTTTTTAGGACACAATTGTGAATTGATAACTGATCATGCTCCCCTAAAATGGATGGTCAAAAAAGGAGACAAATATATGGTGAACAGGTACTTTTTTGGCTCTACAGGATTATTCCTTCATGGTAAAACACAGACCAGGTGCGAAGATGGGAAATGTAGCTGCCCTGTTCCGGGTTCACTTTTGTTGCACTACAGGTGTTCCAACTCTGGGGTTGAAACAAGGGGGGTGGGATATGTAGCAGATTGTCTCAAACGCAGCCTGGAAAAGTCTTGTTCAGGAGTTATACATCTCCCAGGCTCCTTTCTTACATGTTTAGATTACCTCTGATCCTCTGTCCAGTTCAGGTTTTACTCCTCACCTCTTTGGCAATTTAGATTCACCTGGAACACATAGTCAGTGCTCTTGAGCTTGGGGGGAACAGGATGAGTTGTGTCTGTTAGAGCTGGAAGGTTGGTGGAAAGTTGTCAAACAGTGTCTGCGGAGGCTGACACAAGATAGGCTTGGACAGCCTGATAGTCAGGAATTTTTATTGTGTAGTTAGTTGTGTAGGTAGTGTGTGATTTTGTTTTGGAAGTTTTTGAACTCTTTCTACTTGCATCATTGTACAGCATTTGCAAATAGAACAAATAAACAGCAGTGTTTTCCACTACATCACTAGATTGGTATCTGTGCCTAAAAATGTACTCACCCCAGGGAGCTTCCTACTTGCTACTTAGTCCGCCCCTGAGCTGGGGATGACAACTCATGGGGCCCCCAGGCAATAGGGGATCATGGGGCCCCTGTGTCCTTGCCCAAACTCAAAAAAGCCTATGAAAAAGGTACCAGGGGCATCTCATGGGGCCCCCTACTGACCCCGGGCCCTCGGGCAGTGCCCAAGTTTCCAAATGGTCAGTCCGCCCCTGCCCCAGCTCACAATATATATAATATTACACAATGAGATGTGCTACCCTAGAGGATGTCTTAGGAATATAAGGTTTTTAATTTATTGAACATGGGAGCTTTGTCTGTTGGGGGTGTGAGAAGTGCATATGTAAGGTGTACAACATTTTGGCCATTTAAGAACAACATAAAAAAAAACAATAGTCAGCTTTAATAAAAGGTGCATTACTTGAGAGTCTCCTCTGTAAGCAGTT